AAATCTGGAATCGAACAACATGTCAATTTTCGATACTCGATAGTATCGAGGCAATTCGATCGATACCTAAAAAGTATCGAACTCGGTACCCAGCCCTACATAATATAATACTCTTTCCACAGCTTGGGCTCAACTCTTTCCACTAAATCAGCACAGACTCATTCCTCTTTTAGTCGGCCACTCATTCCACTTGCTGTCGGCGAATCTACCTTTCTTTTTTTGACAGTCGCCATGATGCATATCAGCGATGACAACCGCTAACGTTACGTGTCTGTTGCGTTCATTCTGACTGTGAAGCGACCACCCGGAAACGCTCGTTATTTTATAATATATTATGTTATTTTATAATATTGTATATTATCTATTATATTAAATGTAACGTGGTTGGTTAGTTCAGGGAAGAAGGAGGCGGGAACCGGCAAACGTTTAAACCACTTTAATACATTAATACGCAAATGACAAAATGAAAGTAAAAGCAGTAGCTCCTCGTGGACGACGACCACACACACATAAAGTAAAGTCCATGCCTGGTCCTCCGCTGTCTTCGTTCCGATACTTTTACGCGCCCCGAAGCTGATCAGTGAGAAACTTGAAACCGGTGCGGGGCGCGGTGAGAAACTTGAAACCGGTGCGGCGCGCGCGCCCCCGAAGCTCATCCGTGAGAAACTTGAAACCGGTGCGCAGGTGACTCGTGCTACTGGCCTCGCCCTGCTTGCCACTTTGCCTATTTTGTGTTTTCTGTCACAGGAAAAGTAATTGCTGAGATTTTTGGTTCTGAAGTTCTTTCTTTTTTTGGGGGGAGGATTTGACTCGCGGGCCGCATCAAACTGTTTTGCGGGCCGGTTACGGCCCGGGGGCCGGACGTTCCCCACCCCTGACTTAAAGGGTTAAAATTGTATTGCATACCTGTTGAGGCCACAATAAAGGCCCATTTCAAATGTTAGCATGCTTTTCTTTTTGTTCTTAACAGCTCCCACTCGCTGAGGTGGAGAAGTGATGAAATATTGTACTTGTTTTTTTGTTTCAGCATTACAGTAATAAAAAGAGTACATCTTCAAAATGCAGGCAAATACAGCAAAGCACAACAGTTATCTCAGTGCTCTGCAGTGGTCAAAAGGGATTTAAACCGTGAATTCTGAAACAATCTCTTTTTGTAAACTCAGATGTGGATTCGGAAGGCAATTAAATTACCACACGACCCTGGTGTTTGTCAAAAAACAGTAGGTAATTAGGGCAGGGATTTTTACGTGGATGGTGGGAGAAAAACACTGACATTCTGGATTCGGACGGCAATAAAATCGGACTAGCCGCAGTAAAAATGTAAAATGCCTTGCGACACCATGAAAACAATTACTGTGCAAATAAGGCTTTAATTTTAAAATAACAGTGTTTAAGTGTTTACATATCACGTCTAAAATGGACATGGACAGACGGACCTTTAACACAAAGCTTATAAGACATTAACCACACTTTCAATGTCTGTCTTACCTTCAGTTTAGGGATTTTGTGAATCCTGACATCATCAGTAATTGTTCCCACAACAACAGCAGTCAGGTTTTCACGGCCTGGAAGCTTCATCTTACGAATCTAGAGGCAGAGAAAGAAGAAAACTTTGCATGAGACCAACGCCAAGGTTTAATTAGGGCTGTGTTAAAAATATTAATTTCTAACCAATTCTCATTTTGACGAATCAATATCAATTCTTAGATATTTCACCCAAAACTAAAAATTCTGACATTTAAATCACCCTCAAGTTGTTCTAAACATGTTTGCGTTTCTCTTCTACGGAACTTAAAAGATGATATTTAGAAGAATGTGGGTAACCAAACGGTTTCTAGTCAGTATTTTTTTTTTCGTACTCTATGGGGAAGTCTATGGGGACCAGCAATTGTTTGGTACCCGATTTTTCAGTCTTATGCTGAAACAAGGTGATGAACAAAACATTGTAGCAACTCCCATCCATTTAATTGCACTGTTGCACTTTGTTACGTTTGATATGAAATGGCCTCAGCTTTCAAATTCTGTCAATTTTATTACTAAATTCAAAAAATGTATACCACTTTCAATCCATATTGTCTCATGTAATTGCTCAGTGTTTCAACTGCGGAAAGACGTCAATAAAACAGCTAGAAAAAAAATTCCAGATAGGAGCATTTAGCTAAATATATTCATATTTGTACTCAACCTGTTTTTCAATATTTTAAGTATTTTGAATAAATTGACAGCTACAGTTTAAAAGTAAAAAAATGTCAACTTCCATAATGTAATTGTGTGCATATACATCAGTTCATTTTAACCTTTAATATTATAGTAATGGTTCCCTAAACAGTTTACAGCATTAGTTGAGATTTATTTTCCTTGAGAAAATTTGCCATGCACTGTACCTGATATACATCTAAAAGAATCGATATCGAATCATAATAGAATCAAGCAAGCTTGTGAGTAGAAATCAAATTGTGAAATCGGTGTTAATACCCAGCCCAATAATTAACACGCAAAAGGTCATGTGTAAACGAGATCTGCAGAAGTAATGCCTGCTACAGACTGTGTGATTTCAACACTGTACAACATGGATCTATTAAACTTGGGTATGACATGCATGTAGACTGTACGATGACGACACCTATTGAATAGTAGGCGCAAGTTAGCATAGAATAAAACATCATCAGCATGCGCTAGTGATAAACAAATAGAGCAAGATGAATTGCACTTTGGCGTTTGTGGTTTTTATATGCGCTAAAAAAACAATGAAGAGTCAGCGAGAGAATATGGATGCGGTCATGGCTAGGGAAAAGAGACCAACTTGGCATGCCAATTTTGTAAATGAGGCTTGAGGGAAGTAGTTAGTTTTAGCACCATGTCACACAATACACCATTTCAAATTGCATTTTTACTGGCTAGTCAGTAGATGTAGGTCGTAGCAGCAAACACACGGTGAGATGATCAAGCTAAACTTGACACTGATTGCAGGCCATCTTTGGCCTTGACAAGACAACTTCTGTCACTTAACGACGTAGGACCACCGTTTAGGAGCCATGACCACAGAAACCGCCACGATTGGTCATCTTTCGTCTGGGACAGGACAAAATCGTACAATGTGTACCGGGCATAACACTGGGGTTTAAACTCACCAGTCGGGAAATGGACAGAGGCGGGCGGTTGGTCTTGCTCATGAAGAGTCTCCTCAGAATGACCTTGTTGAAGGGAGCATCAGAACGACGAGACAGGAACCTGTACAACTACAACACACAACAAAAAGCAAACTGATAAAATTAAAGGAAAAAATTGACAACTGATCCAACTGGCCAGAGAAATGTAGCAATACGTTTTACAGCTGGAGTTTCTTGCTTGCTTATCTGTGTTGAGTAAGTTATCATGTTGGTTCTTACCTTGACCAAGAGCCTCAGGTAAATATCCTGACTTTTGGGCTCCTTCCTGTGAACCTTACGGTCCTTGTTGTGTCTGATGTCAACTCCCTGTAGGATTCCGCAAAATACATCAATTACACACCAATAAAAAGCATCGTTTCACAGACCTGGAGAATTAGCACTTTCTTCATAGATTACACTAGCTTGAGAACTTGCACATGAGCAATAATGGCTAGCACAACGAAAAAAATAACTTAAAGTGAAAAACGTCTTTACCATAATTCAAATTTGTCTCAGATAAGCTGTAACTCATGTGGCTGTGAGAGCCGAATACTGCTAGCACTAGTAAAGCTAACTTAGCTTAGCCAACACGAGTTTGCTGTAACGTTAGTGTTTTTACTTCTGACCAGTTATCGAAATTAAACACCAGTATGCATTTATTATATATATTTATAAACAGAAGATCAATGAGACAGTAACACGCTGTCGTCAGAGTATGTACGGCAAGTATTTTAAAACACGACAAATGAACGGGAGTCTCAGCTCTGCGGCCCGATGTGCGTTAACCGGCATTTACTTATTAATTTCACACACTATCCACAATAATACCTATATCTAATCATTTATAGCGCTATGTAATGCTTCTAAACATCATCTGCGGTAGAACTAGAACAGATATTGCTGAGGATGGAGGTAGATTTTGGATACTGGTAGACTCCATGAGATATCAAGCTACCTACCATCTTGGACTCAGAGTGAAAAGGGAAAAAGAAAGCTCGCGAGAGGACGTATAGCGAGATTACGGAACGGTATGAGTCACGTGACTGTAAAATGGCGCGTCCGGATAGGCTCACGATTCCTGTCACTGAAAAAAAAAACATTTCAGTGTACACTCTGGTGTGCATTGGATATGGTTGGTTACAGAAAGAGAGTAGGTCTACAGTCAAATTCATAATAAACGGTGTTTAAGCAAACAAATATAGCTAAATAAAAATGTAGGGCCTATGTAAAGCGCTTTGAGTGCCGAGAAAAGCGCTATATAAACGTAATGAATTAGTATTATGTACAAATGTAGTAGCCTACTATTGTACAGCAGTGTGGTCTATCTCAGCTACGTTTAAAAGAGCTTGATTACAAAGTTATTATAATGAAGACATATCTTTTTTGTGATAAATATAATTATAGCCTATACAGGCCTATTATAGTTTCATTTGAAACATTCTAAAAAATCTCTTAAAATCATAAAAATCTCTTAAAAACTAAAATTCTCTAATCAATTTTCTGAATGCATGGATTTTAAGTGAACAATGTCATTTTTAATTTTTTTTGGTTCCACTTTATATTAAGTGTCTTTATGTACTAAAGAAGACACCTGATGTTTTTTTTGGACCTCATAATGTTTAATAGAACCAATTTCCCACACCTACATTATTGTTTTCTTGATAATCCATTTCACTGTGGAAGAAAAGATCTGTCACTACTTCCGTTTCATTGCAACTTCTAAAAGAATGAGTGGGAAAACTGGGGTAACAAAAAATGTGTTTATTATGAAGCATAATTGATCATTTAAAATATTATTTTATTTGTAATTTACCTATAGGAGACAAGGAAAATGATTTGTTAAAATCTCAGTAGTTTAAAAAATCAGCCAGCTTTAATGCATCCCTTAAGTTGCATATATGCAGTGTGTTGCATATTTAGATATTCAAGCAGCTGTGGAATAAAGCCTAGCTCAGGAAGTCACTCTTCTGTTGCTTGAAATGACACAAGAAGACAGTCCAGCCAAGAGCGACTCCTCCAACAAAAACCGTACGAGCCACTGGCGGGATCAGGGAGAAGTTCACAGCCTGAGACATGAAGAATATAATTAGGAAATAAATGAAGAAGCATCTTAGAAAAAGATCTGACAGATGTATGAACAAATGCATACCTGCATTGCTGACCAGTACACCACTCCAGTCTACCGAAATAGAAACAAAGAGTAAATCAATGTGTCAAATTTGATCCAGAATTTACACATGTGCAATTGCTCTTGTGCTCTTCAATGTTTACCTGATAAGAGGTCCAGAATTTATTTTTCCAGTCTTCAAGGGGATCCTCTGCACCCTCCAATGCGCTCAGCCCTTTAGAAGTGTAATTAACACTTTAGTTCATCATTATTCATTCATTTGTGCACCAATATATTTTTGTATTGATTTTGTTTGATTGAACAAGTAGAAGTGGAAATTCCTCAGTTATTAATTTTGGTGAGTATATTTATTGCTGATTCTCACCAATGTAGAAAGCACTTATTGTCATAGGGGCTGCAAACAGCTGGTCTAGAAACACTTTGAGTGACACTCTTTTGGCCCCTCCCCCCGGAAACATCCTCTCCAGTCCTCGTAGCCAATGGTAATTGAAGTTAGCATGGAAACAGAACCCAACCAGTGCCACCCGAGCGGTCTGGGCCCAGTCGATGCCGTGAAGCTGTGGAACATGTTGGACTGGAGCTGATGTTTCATTTTCTTCCGAGGCTTTTTTATTGCCTTCTGGGTCACTTATTTTGGTATTATACCAAGTCAGATCATCTGTCTTTGCTTCTCCAGCCACAGTTACTCCTTCAGTGGACATCTTAGATGGATCTTGTCCCATTCTATCTGGTTTGTGTTGTTCTGTCACTTTGTCCTGAGCTTTTCCCATCATGGTTTGCTGAATGAGGTCCGCTGTGGCAAACAGGGTTGTGTATCCCAGCACATTAGGGATGTATGGATGGGATTTGAACAAAGTCCATGCTCTGTTCATGATGACCGCTGGACAGGGATAATAAAAGCAAATATTTCATTAAACTGAATAGGCTCAATCTACAATAAATGTCGTTTGATCCTTTTAATTTGAGTTTTTAAAGTCACCATGAAATCAAAATTCTTATTTTTTTGCCTCCCACTTGCAGCAACATCTCTTCTCTTCTCTGATGATGTGTTTACTGGCGTGAGGGCGGGACAACCTGTCACTCACATGACATCACAGCAATAGCAAACCACAAGAGATGCTACTCACTGCAGAGCCAATGGGTGGAGCTTGACGTCCAGCTCCACCTCACTGGACTTAATGGGTGGAGCTAGACGACCCCCACCCACACACTAACCCTATAGCTAAACATAACTCTGCCCATTATTTCCAGAGAAGGAGAGCTGGATGTCATTTGGCACTGCAGTGAGCACCACTTGAACCATTCCTGATGGACAAATTAAAGTCCCAGCCTACATTTTTTCTTGTTCAATGCTGTTCCAATCAGATCAAAATAGGGAAGAAAAGTCTGTTTCATGCTGACTTTTAAGTTTTTTAATAGTTGCAAATGACAATTTAAGTTTAAATAATGTTTTTTTTTGTTGTAACTCACCATGTAGCTGTCCTGTTTTAAGAATGAATGACAAATCTCAAGGTTCACTTGTATCCCTCTGATTGATTCTTGTAAACAAAGCTGATTGGTCAAACATAGACCAATCAGAGTTTGTTTTGAGGTACAAAGTTCAAAGTAGCAAGAATTACTGTTTATGATAAGGTTTATCAGTGCCAGAATGTGAGAAAAGAACACATGGAGAGAACCAGGGAACATTTGAGGGAATGTATTATGAAAGGGAAATTATTTTAATAATCAGTATATAAAACATCCTTCTACTTAATATAAAACAAATTAATCATAATGAAATGCAGAAATCAGATACAACGTGAAGTATATGAAGCTCACCGACGTTAAACTTGAGAGAAGCACATTCTAACACCAGGCTGAAAGCAGAAGTTCTTCAAGCAGAGAACATATGCAGCAGTGACATGTGAGAAGCTGCACTAAATATAGTGAAGAGTGTCCTGTCCACACCCCACTGTAATGTTACCATAGTGCTGAATGATAGTGGACCAATAATTCACATAACCAATGAATCTCACAAAAATTCAAGCAAGAGGCCATTAGCAATTTAACATGGTTCGGTGTTGTTAACTGACACTAAAAATATCACAAACTGCATTTACAAGACTATTCCTTTAGGAATTAATTCAAAATACAATGCTCTAATGTGTATATGGTAGACTATCTTATTTTCTTTTAAGTCATTTATTAAGCATTCATAGTTCAATTGAATATGTTCCTGCTTTGAATCATGTCATATTCCCTGCCTCTGGACCACGTTCCATTCTGTTGAACGTCCCCATAGATATGTAAAAATAACATTTTGTCTGAGGGCTGAAATGTGAAGGCAATTTGTGTGTGGCAACCAGTAGAGCTCTCAGACAGGAGAATGTGTTAATGAGGATCTGAGATTAAAGAGATCAATTAAAGGGCCGTTAAGCGCTCAACTGGTGCGCTGTGTTTGCTAACACTTAACAAGCGCTGTTTTTGACCATGCTCAAGGAGACCGCACGGCACGAACCAGTTGACTTCTAATTGCTTTTCTTTTCATTCTACTGCACTTCTCTGTCCTCTTTAATGGCCTTGCCACCCTTTATCTAGCAGACAAAGAATCGTTCACTGTGGCATCATCACCGAATCAATGTCACCCTCCCCTCGGTCATTCATTCATTCACACTCTCTCTGTCTCTCGGTCAGTCAGGGTGCAGGACTGGATCACCTGTGCAAAGTCGTCTGGTTCCCTGCTTCAAAAGTGGATTCTTACTGAGTAACAGAAGGTAGGTGGTGCTTTCATAGAAAGATTGATTATCAGGCTTTTAGAGATCTAAATCTTAATTTGATGTACTGAATGTTCTGCTCCTTTAGTTTTACAAAATGTTAATATACTGAGCCTAAGCTATCAACATTCATTGGCAATTTAGCAAACAACTACTGAATCTGATGTGATATTATCTTATTTTCTTTCTCTCTTTCTTTAATGCCCCTCATATTTTATCCCCAAAGCTATGCGCCCATCCAGTATTTTGACCTTTGAGCCAGGGCCGGAGCACGGAGTGCCATGGGGTCGGGATCTTTTTACTTTCGTGACCTCAGCAGCTGGTCACATGATGAGGACTTTGCAAAAACCACGTAAAAACAAGCCATCAAAACGACAAGTCAATCATCGTAGGTTTCTACACAACATGATACAGAGGTATGTTATATACAGTATATAGCCAATATGTATATGTATATGCTTAAGAGTCAACGATTGGATCATTATTGCAGTGATTATTATGTTTCTAGCATGTTATATGTTTGGCAACCGTTCTTCTAACCCGAATTGATGGAGAGTGAAGCTTTTCATTTCTTAAACAAGCATGAAGGAAGACACATCATGTATTCCAGGACGACAATGTCAAGATTCATCAGGCTCAAACTGTGAAAGAATGGTTGGGAAGGAGAATGAAGAATCATTTTCAGTTTCACACATGAATCGGCACCTCTGTTATTTCCATCAAGAAATTTCCATCTGTTTTTGGTCAAGATCATTATACATATATTTACCAAGGCTGCATTTATTTGATCAAAATAACAGTAAAACAGTAATATTTTGACTGCTTTCTAGTTTTAAATATTTTATTTTATTCTTTAGATGGATGGAAAACGTGTCGGTTACCTAACGTAACCTCGGTTCTCTCTAGAAGAGGGAACGAGTATTGCGTAAGCTAGCTTACGCTACGGGAAAGATGAATCTTTTCGAGATATTGAAGCCAAAAATTATCCTTAATTTTGTATTTATTGTCAACGCATTGCAGCAGCTGCCAGACCTAGAGCGGGCTATCTAGCGAGCTCATAGGCTGCTCTGCGGCAACTGCAGCAGCCTATCAGTGAACCTGGCATGATGTCACGCCCAATGAGAGGCGCTCGCGCCCTCTTGGCATCACAGCCCGCCAGAATGGGCGTGGCTATGTGTATATAAGCGAGGTTCAGAGGCTGCTTCCCTGGTTTTCATCGACTGAAGCGAAAGTCGCTCGTGGCGCGAGCACGGCCGGTTACGCAATACTCGTTCCCTCTTCTAGAGAGAACCGAGGTTACGTTAGGTAACCGATACGTTCTCTTACGAGAGGTTCTCTCGTATTGCGTAAGCTAGCTTACGCTACGGGAACGCTTTGTCAACGCCGTGCGCGCCAAGCATCCACTACATGAGCCCAGGGGGGAACCCGGGGAGCCCTGATAAGTGGGGATAATAAGGTGGCCAGCAGTAGTGCGGGCCAGCGCATGTACATAAGCACTTAAAGGGAACAGCAGAGTGGCGGCGCCGGTCTGTGTAAGCATATAGCAACCCAGTAGTGCAGCTCAACCAGGAGAGCTGATTATAGTGATAGTATCACACTTACAGTATACCGCCAGAAGCTTTGCCTGCAGGGCGGGAACTTCCAGATTGTAAAATCTGACAAAGGTGGACGGGGAAGCCACACATATGTCGTGGATGGAAATCCCACTGGACCACGCCCACGATGAGGCCATGCCTCTAATGGAGTGAGCCCTGACGTCCAAAGGGCATTGCAAGCCTTTTGACGCGTAAGCAGCCGCGTCCACTATCCACCCGGACAGTGTCTGTTTCGAGGTGGTAAGACCTTTAGTGCGCCCACCATACGAAACGAATAGCTGCTCCGTGCGTCTGAAAGAGGCAGAGCGCGCAGTGTATAATCTCAACGCTCTGACTGGGCAGAGGAGATTGGCGTCGCATTCGCTATCGGATGCTGGCAGAGCCGATAGGGAAATGATCTGCGCTCTGAAGGGAGTAGCAATCAATTTGGGAACATAACCGTGTCTAGGTTTGAGAATGACTTTAGAGTCATTTGGCCCGAACTCAAGACACGCCGGGCTGACAGACAGCACGTGAAGGTCCCCCACACGTTTAACTGATGACAGAGCTGTCAGAAAAACGATTTTAAATGACAGGTACTTTAAATCCACGGATTGTAGTGGTTCAAAGGGAAAGGCTTTCAGGGCCTCGAGGACCACAGAAAGATCCCATGCAGGAACCGACGGGGGGCGCGGAGGGTTCATCCTTCTAGCTCCTCTAAGGAAACGGATGACCAGCTTGTTCTTTCCCAATGACTGGCCGCGCGGAGGTTCTGTTAACGCTGCAACGGCCGCCACATATACTTTGAGCGTGGATGGGGACCTGCCCTTATCCAATAGCTCTTGTAAAAACACGAGCAGCCACGAAACCCCACGTTCCCGTGGGTCCAGATTTTTGTTGGTGCACCATTTAGAAAACACAGACCATTTAGACACATAGAGCTGTCTGGTAGAAAGAGCTCTGGCATGCACGATCATGTTTATTACTCCTTCTGGCAGAGCAACGGGTAGTCGTTGATCACCCACGCATGCAGCGACCAGCGCAGATCGAGCCGCGAGCCTGAGAGAGGAGATCTGTTCTCACCGGAATGGGCCACGGGGCTGTCTGTGACAGCTGCGTAAGCTCCGGTAACCAAGCCTGATTCTCCCAACGCGGGGCTATGAGGAGCACCGAGTGGCGCGTTTCCCTGATTCTCTTTATTACCTGTGGTAACAATGAGACAGGCGGGAAGGCGTAAAGCGGGCGGCTGGGCCAGTCCTGGGCCAGCGCGTCCTCGCTCTTCTAGAAAAACACTGGGCAGTGAGCGTTGTCTTCTGACGCGAAAAGGTCGACATCCGCTCTGCCAAATAGGCGCCATAGTTTCTGGACTGTTTGGGGGTGCAGGGACCATTCCCCTGGGGGGACGTTGTCCCTGGACAGTCTGTCCGGGCCGTCGTTCAGGTGGCCTGGCACGTGCGTCGCTCTCAGCAACCGCAGGTGACGCTGAGACCAAACTAGTATGCGTTCTGCCAGATCGCAGAGGTTCCTGGATCTGACTCCGCCCTGACGGTTCAGATAGGACACCACGGACATGTTGTCTGAACGGACTAGGACGTGGTGTTCTCGAATAACTGGGAGAAAGCGCGTGAGCGCGTTCTTGACCGCTATCATTTCCAGACAGTTTATGTGAAGGAGCTTCTCCTGGTCTGACCACATGCCAAAAGCCGGCGTGCCCTCGCAGACCACGCCCCAACCCGTGTTGGACGCATCTGTCGAGACGACTTTCCGGTGTGAGATCGCCCCCATCATCACTCCCCGCTGATACCACTCGGCCACTTTCCAGGGCTTCAGAGCTGAAATGCAGGTCTGAGTCACTCTGATTATCTGGCGGCCGGCGGCCCAAGCCTGGCGACACGCACGAGTGACGTTCTCTTCCGCCTCTTCATCCGTCGTGATGGCGATGCGGCCACTCGGCGGCAACGGCGCGTCCGTGGGGGGCGGGGAAGGCGAAGGCGAAGCTCGAGGGAGAGGCTCCGGCGAGGCATTCGCAGTAGTCGCGGGTTCCGGCGGCCTTTGTGAACGGCGCTTCTTCCTGCGCAGTGCAACGAAAGGCGGCGTGGCGGCTTCGACGTTGAAACTCTGAAGTCGAGCCCGCAGGGTCGACAACGGGAGTTCTTCGCAGAGCTCGCATCCGCCGTCGGCGAGGGCGAGGGCTGCGTGTTCCTGGCCCAGGCAGAGAGCCGCAGGATGTGCGAGGCATCTTTAAAAAGACACTCGCTGCTCTTTTAGTAGTTCGCGCTGGCGAACGTGCTCTAAAGCT